CGAGTACGAGGAGAGAGGTCGCTGCTACCTGCTCTCTGCCCCCGGGCCCCACGCCCTGCTCCTGGTGACCCAGCTGGGCCGGTACACTGCCCAGGACCAGCAGGCTGTGAAGGCCGTGCGGGACATGTTCGGGGAGGGCATCCTGAAGCGAGTGGTCGTCGTCTTCACCAGGAAGGAGGACCTGGGCGAGAGCTCTCTGCAGGATTACGTGCGCTGCACCGACAACCAGGCCCTGCGGGAGCTGGTGGCCGAGTGCGAGGGGCGGGTCTGCGCCTTTGACAACCGAGCCACTGGCCGGGAGCAGGAGGCCCAGGTGGAGGAGCTGCTGGGGCTGGTGGAGGGCCTGGTGAGGGAGCGCGGGGGCGCCCACTACACCAACGAGGTGTACGACCTGGCGCAGGCCCTGCACTGGGCGAGCCCGGAGGAGAGACTCCGGAGGGTGGCGGAGACGGTGGCGGCCCGCGTGCAGAGGCCCAAGGGATCCTGGCTGCTGGCCAGGCTGCGGGAGTGGCAAAAGTCCCCCAAAAGCGGCTGGTTGCACAGCCTGACCTTCCTGCTGGGGTGCGTGCTCCTGTTCTGTGAGCTGCTCTTCAGACGCAGGCGTGACTTGACTGAGGACTTTGTTGGGGTCAAAATTGACAGTGCAGGGCCAGGCGCCGTGGCTCACGAAGCGAGAGGATTGGGAGGCCGAAGCGAGAGGATTGCCTGAGCCCAAGGGTGGGAGACCAGTCTGAGCAACTGGCCAGACCTCGTCTCTACAGTACGTTAGAAAAAAAAAAAAAAGGAGCCAGCATGGTGGCATGCGCCTGTAGTACTTGGAAGGATCACAGGTTAAGGCTGCAGTGACTGTGAGCGTGCCACTGCACTCCAGCCTGGGCGACAGAGTGGGACTCCGACCCACGCAGAAGCCTCAAGCTCGATGACTGAAGGGCGGGGGTGACAAGAGTGAGGCGAGGGGTACAGCAGACAGGCGCCAGCCTTGAAAGCAGGAAATGGACAATATCCAAGGCATCATAGTCCTGGGCCACTTGCGCACCCATGCTGCCATGGACCGAGAGTTGTTTACCAAGTGGGTTTGTTAACCCGTTATTCTTTCATTTGTTTTCATTGTCTCCACATATGCTTTCTTTCTTTCTTTTTCTTGTTTATAATATAATTTTATTCAATATGCTTTCCTGTTTACAGATTATGACATTAAATAGAGGTTTATTTTGAAATTAAGCTGCAGGCTTGATGGTATTTGGTTTGGCTTAAGTTACATATTTTGTAAAATACATCAGATGATTAGTTAACATATATTAATCACCATAAAATCTCTAAATGTACTTTCTTAGGTATGTATAGCCAATTACTGAGGCCATGTTACTACGTATACGTTTGGGAATGGACTGTATTTGAATCACAAATGAAGATTTTTAAAAATAATATTTTCCACATATGCTTTTCAATGTTTGTTGCTACATATTGCTTGTAAATGCAGATGCGATTTTCTTAAAAAAATAAAAGTATGATTTAAAACTTATCTTGTGGTCTGTAGCATATAGAAATGTACACTTGGAGCAAACGAAGGCTTGGCTTCTGTGTGGAAAATCTTCTGTTCTGTGGGCATAGTGACTCAAGTCTGTAATCCCAGCACTTTGGGAGGCCGAGGTGAAGGGATTGCCTGAGCCCACAGGTTCGAGAATAGCCTGGGCAAGTTGACGAGAACTCATCTCTATAATAAACCAAAAAAAATTAGCCAGGCATGGTAGTGCACTCCTGTAGTTCCAGTTACTTGAAAGACTGAGGCAGAAGGGCTGTCTGCATCCAGCAGATCAACACTGCGTGACCATGAGAGTGTCGCTGCATTCCAGCTAAAAAAAAAGAGAAAATGTTCTGTTCTTGGCATCACATGAAATGTGGTAAGGGGCCCTGGAGACACAGCAGGCAGAGATGTGGCTTGACCAGAGTGGACTTGTATTTGGGAGACAGTCCCCTATATGCTTGCTCTGAGACCTTGGGCCCAAGTGGATCTAGTGTTTCCTTGAAATGTATATACTAATATTAATCTTGATAGTTTTCACAGAAAATAAAATAATGTGGATGAAAGTACCTTGTAGATCAAATTCCATAAGAATATGACACAGAAAAAAACAATCTAAGAGGAAAATTTTCATAGTAAATACTCCACATGATTGTTTGTATACAGAGTTGGAGACAAGCACTAATATAATGTAAGATTTGATGAATTGTTGAAAACATTTACAAAGTCCAATCAAAAATGTATTTCCAATCTAATTCTCAAAATATGCTACCATCTTTGAATTCAAATCATATATTAAAGAAATTAAAGTTTTCCCTTACAGTTAAATAACATTTACTTAGTGGTTTCCTTTATCAGATACTTTGATTATGATTTTTTTTCCATCTTTGTATTTCCATCATATAATCCAGTGCCTGGTATATAAAATAGGAATCAATAAATGTTTGGAAAATGAATGGTGAAGTTGACTTTCCTGCACCCTCTTTATTCTAGGGTCCTAATTACCAGACTTTTGATCATTTTCTAAATTTTCCGTCATGGGTCACAGAAAATTATTTCGTGCAAGTATACCATTGTATTAATAATTTATTTTCCAGCTGTAAGGAAACTTCCCTTCAAACACAAAGTCCCTCAAATTACCACATTTCCAGGCCTTTCAGCTGATGTTCATCATTCCATTCAGTAAAGTCGTTTTTTTTTTTTTAAAGCTGTGGCTTAAAGTCTTTTTTTCCCCAGAGCTAAGGTTTAGGCTTTGTGACCTGTATGATGTAATTAGGGTTATTTGACTCCACAAATCAATTTTATTTTTAAATGGCAGCATAAAACAGTAGCACCTCCTATAGAAACAGTTTTCTTGCTAACTTTAACCAGACACAGAGTCAAAATACAATCCTATATCTCAAAAGTTGTATATTTGTGTGAATATGTATTTATTGCAACCATGCCTCCTTTCTCTTCTTCTCCTTTTATTCTTTTAAGGCTAAAATGTGTGCACCATACATTAATGAAGTTTCTTTTCATACTTCCATGCCCTGATGCCTGGGTCAGCTTTTGTATTACACAGAAAGATTCATATCTGGCTTACTTCTGAAATCTAGCATTGGCCATGATGAACTTTTAGAACAGATTTCAGGCAATGCACACGCTCTTATATATTTTTGCACAATATTCCATTTCTAGTCCAGATACCAGTGCTCCTTCCAGAGATTAACCTGCAGAGTTAATGTCCCAGAAGAGAAATTATTTGGGAAACAAAGTCTAGACTATGACTCCAGACTCTTTTCCCACCCTAGGAGTCCTTATCTATAAGTGGTAATGTTGGTCTTTTCTTATGCAACTAGATTTGTTGTTGCTTATTCTGTCAATAAAATGTTTGAGATTTTTCTAAATTTGTCCTCTACCTCTTTTTTTTTCTTTTTTTTTTTGAGTCGGAGTCTCACTCCATTGCCCAGACTGGAGTGCACTGGCACACTCATGCCACCCCAGCCTCGACCTGCTGGGCTCCAGTGATCCTTCTGCCTCAGCCTTCCAAGTAGCTGGAACTACAGGCACCCATTATCATGCCCAGCTAAGTTTTTATTTATTATAGAGATGAGGTCTTGCCAAGTTGCCTGGACTGGTCTTGAAACTACAGTATATTTCTTTTTTTAATTATTATTATTTTATTTTAAAGATATAGGATCCAATTCAGGTTTAGGTACATAGGTGGTCAGGTGAAGCCTGGGCCTCACATTGGTCCTCACTTCATCTGGTTTAGGATCTTGTACCCTTATTGATATTATATGCCACACACCTCCCTCCCTCTCCTGGCAGTGTCCTGCTACTGCCGATCCTTTTCTTGTAATATTGTGGTAAATGTTCAGGGTCCACTTATGAGTAAGGACATGTGGTGCTCAGTTCTTTGTTTCTGTGATAGATCACTGAGTATGATAGACTAAATCTATCCAAGTTGCTGCGAAGTCCATAATTTTGTTCTTCTTTATGACTGCAGAATATTCCATTGTATATATTTCTTCCCATTCCGTGGGCTGTCTCCCCACTCTCTTGATAGCCTCTTTTGCTTTGCAGAAGCTTTTTAAAATCCAGTCCACTTTTGATGGGCAGCATGTTTGGTTTCATGCTTTTGCTATTGTGAATAGAGCTGTGATAAACATATATGCACAGGTTCTTTTTTTTTTTTGAGTTGGAGTCTCACTCTGTCGCCCTGACTGGAGTGCGGTAACCGCTCCCAGCCACGCAGCCTCTACCTGCTATACTCCAGCAATCATTCTGCCTCAGCCTTCCAAGTAGCTGGAACTTCAGGTGCACACTACCATGTCTGGCTAATTTTTTGATTTATTATAGAGATGAAGTCTCACCAAGTTGCCCAGGCGGGTCTCGAACCCATGGGCTCAGGCAATCCACTCACCTCAGCCTCCCAAAGCGTGGGATTACAGGCTGAGCCACCGAGTCCGGCTACAGTTTATTTTTTGTTTGTAGAACGATTTGAGTTTCTCCAGGTATATTTATTCCCAGAAGGGGGATTGCTGGGTCATATGGTCAGTTGATTTTTTGATCTTTTAGTAATCACCACGACTGTTTTCTACAGAGGTTGTACTAATTTGCACTCCCACCATCTGTGTAGAAGTGTTTCTTTCTCTCCACATCCTCTCCAGCGTCTTTTTTTTTTTTAATTACTAATGATGACCACCCTGACTGGAGTTAGGTGGTATCTCAGTGTGATTTGATTTGCATTTACTTGATGATTAGTGAGGATGAGCATTTTTTCATGTATCTGTTGGCTGCTCATATGTCTTCTTTTGAGAAGTGTTTATTTATATATTTTGCCCACTTCTTAAATGATTTTATAGTATTTTTTAAATTATTTTTTATTTTTTTATTATAAGGATGTGGGGTACAATTCAGGATTAGGTATCCAAACGTTGATCATCAGCTACCCTTGCTGATGAAGTATGCCCTTCCCTCCCCTAGCAGTTTCCCTCAACTGCCAATGCCACCCCCTATCCCCTGACAGTTTCCCACTACTGCCAATCACCTTCTTATAGTATTATAATTGTTTAAGGTCCACTTATGAGTGAGAACATGTGGTACTCTATTCTTTGTTTCTGTGATAGATCACTGAGTATGATCAACTCTAAATTCATCCAAGTTGCTGCGAAGTCCATATCTTTGCCTTTCTTTATTATTTTGCCTACTTTTAAATATGGCTATTTGTTTTTTTCCTTTCGGCACATTTGAGTTCCTTGTAGATCCTGGATGTTAAGCCTTTGTCAGATATACAGTTGGCTAATATTTCTTCCCATTCTGTGGGCTGTCTCCCCACTTTCTTGATAGTTTCTTTTGCTTTGCAGAAGCTTCTCAGTTTGATGAGGTCCCACTTGTCTATCTTTTCTCTTATGGCAAGCACTTTTGGGATTTTGATCAGGAATGTCTGTAAGGGTATCTCCAGCATTTTCTAAAATTCTTAGAGTTTGAGGTTCTACATTTAAATCTTTGATCCATTTAGAGTTGATTTTTATGTATGGTGATAGGTTCTACATTTAAATCTTTGATCCATTTAGAGTTGATTTTTATGTATGGTGATAGGTAGGGGTCTTGTTTCATTCTTCTGCATGTGGCCAGCCAGTTTTCCCAGTACCATTTACTGAATAGGTTCTTCTCTCCCCAGTGGCTGTTGGTGGAGACTTTTTTCTTGTACCAGTACCAGGCTGCTTTGATTATTATAACCTTATAATAAAGTTTAAAGCCTAGAAGTGTAATACCTCCTACTTTGATTATTTTGCTGAGGATTATTTTGGCTATTCACAGTCTTTTTTTTCCATATGAATTTCTGTATTGTCATTTCCAGGTCTGAAGAGAATGATGTTGGCAATTTAATGGGTAGTGCATTGAATCTGTAGATTGCCTTTGGTAGGATGGACATCTTAATAATGTTAATTTCCAATTCATGAGCACGGAATGTTTTTCCACTTGTTTGTGTCTTCTTTGATTTCTTTGAGTAGCATTTTGTAGTTTTCATTGTAAAGGTCTTTCACTTCTCTGGTTAGGAAGATACCAAGGTATCTCCTTTTTTTGTGGCTATTGTGAATGGGATTATGCTTTTTATTTGGTTCTCTGTCCATTTGTTGTTGGTGTATAAAAATGTGACTGTCTTTTGCACATTGATTTTGTACACTGAGA